ATTAGTGGTGTTTTAAGGTTGTAGATAAAGTCTTATGATTGGTCAAGGTATGTGGAAGCTTACATTTGTTTGTTTATGGTTGTATGTTATATGTGTTTTTGGTTATTTTGGATGGATAATTCTTGTTGATACATGTTTATATGGTTATGATTATGATTATATGTTGATATTGTTGGGCAATGATTTGTGTATGCATCGACATAAAATTTATGTAATATTTATGTTGGGTTTTCCTTATGAATGTATGTATGGTTTGTTGGGTTATCCCAACAAAGGGTTTAATGCTAAGGAAGAACAAAATTATGATGTTTCGGGGTTTCCATGTAAATATATGTTGTAAGTATTGGGTTATTGGGATCCCTTCTTATGTGGAGAATAGGGTTAACATATTGGACCATTGCGTCTCACTTTGCTTTAATGGATATCGGTTAGATTAGTAGAACACATTAGAGTCATTTGAAGAGAGAGAAAATCCAAGAGAAAGGAAGAGAAGAAGTAATTTCCGCATAACATATAACCTGCACTGATTTTTCGTCGTTGTGAAGTCGTTCACTGTTGGATTGGGCTGATTTTTGGACAGTGGGTTCCAGACATATGGTTCTTCATTCTGATTTTTCGGATCGTCAATTGTAGGTCTAGTTTGGGAGAAAGCATTCGTGCATCAGCAGCTCTGTTTTGGAGAATTTCATAAAATCTGCACTGGTATTTTCGTCATTGTGAAGTCATCCACCATTGGATCGAACTGATTTTTGGACAGTGGGTTGCAGACGTATGATTCTTCATTCTGTCTGCTCAGATCGTCAATCAGAGGTCAAATTTGGAAGAAAACAGTCTCACATAACGGCTCTATTTTGTAGAATTTTCATCTTCTTGGTTCTCATTTGTAAGTATTATGCTTAGTTAGTTTGGCTGATCGAAAACCCTATTTTGGTGTTTTTATCGGAGACTATTTTGCACCCTATTATTGGAGGTATAACATGTCAATGATTGTTTCTGGATGATTCAAGTGATGTATTATATGTGTTTTAGTATGTTTACATGGGTATGTGATGCTTGAATGCATGTATGATGTGTTAACTATGTTTCCACGTGATTTAGAGTTGATGTATGTATTTTTGATTTCTTGAATCATGTCCAAGATGTGTTTCGATTCAGCAATAATCGATTATCATTAGTTATAATAGATTATCTACGCGTTGATTTTGAGTGTGGTTTAGGGAATAATCGATTATTCCTTCCTGTGTGATGTTGTTCAAGAGTAGGAAGTGATCCAATGTGGTGGCGGTGATACCCTTAAAGTTAGGGTCTCTCTTTCACCTGTGTGAGGCAGGGGAAAAGGATGGGTTACGAGAAGAGCGGTAATGGTTTTCCGTGATCATTGGTTAGCTTAGTGAGAGAATCACGGTATTGAACAAATCATATGATGTGATGGTGGGTATGTTTTAAGTATGATTTTATGGATATACTTAGTTAATTTGGGGTTGTACCTTTCCTCTTTCGAGGGGTAGAAAGATATTCACCTTTCCTCTTGTGAGGGAGTAGAAAGGTAGTGACCTTTCCTCTTTTAAGGGGGTAGAAAGGTGGATCTCTTCATCTTCAAAAGGCGGTGGAAGAGATGGGTCTCTTCGTCCATGAGGGTAGTGGAAGAGATGGGTCTCTTCGTCCATGATAGGCGGTGGAAGGGATAGGTTCAAGTGCTGCTCGTTTCTCTTTCAAGGGGGTACAAAGGTAGTCACATTTCCTCTTGCGGGAGGGTAGAAAGGTGGATCTCTTCATCTTTAATTGGCGATGAAAGAGATAAGTCTCTTCATCCTGAAGGGGTGGTGGAAGGGACTATGATTCGAGTGTTGCTCTTTCCTCTTGCGAGGGGGTAGAAAGGGATGAAGGTCTCGTCCGAAGGGTTTTGACTCGTGTTAAGTTTAGTGTTAGGGTAAGGGAACAAGGGAGACAGGTCCAAAGCTGCGGTGGAGGACTAGTAAAATCATCTTGTTTTGATAAACAGGAATCATACGTGAAGTATGGAAGTTGACATACATTTATAATGATGGTTGAATAGGCACGAGTTGCCTTAAATTGGTATATGATGCAGAGCTAATGGGTTGAACATGATTTCGTTTAAGGGAATGAAGGTGTGGTTACCGCATTGGTTGTTATAGTTTTATTATAAATTGATGTTGTTTGGTGTGATGGAATTGTAATAAGGACTTAACTATTGTGATATAAATGTTATATTGGTGATTTGATGTTTATTTTGGTATTATTCTGAATGCATTGATCAATTTATGATAATGTTGTAAGGAGATCTAAATCTCTAAGGTTGTGATATTAGATGTTGTATATTTCCTAGATCACATTATTTGGTTTAAATGGTGGGATTTTTTGTGGTGTAACTCATGCATGAAGGGTATAGTGTTTTACCGGTGTAGGTGTGGTACTTGGGGTGTGTTGCTTTGATTTTACTCATGGGTGGTTTGGGTAGTAACAAATCAATTATCTTAAGTGATAATTGATTATCACAATGCATTTTAATGAAATATGGCGAATTTGATCAAGAATGGACGTGAACCAAGCCTGAGGAGTTGTGGAAAATGATGATAATCAGAGATTGAGGTTAATGGTTATGTTTAGGGTCAGTTTGACTTGTGGTTGAGAGTGGAACATGAGTGAGTGTTGGGATGTACCTGAGTATGTGATTGATGAGCGTGAGAGTGAAGGATAAGTCTACTCGTTGTACCTCGTAAATCCTGGTTCTATCTGCGGATAGGTGCTTTCTTTTGTCTTGTGTGCACTGGAAGGAGATGATCTACAGGGGAGGCTACATATACCTTGTAGGGGAGGCTATAGGTAGATTGTAGGAGAGACTACAGTTGGTGAGGTAGGGTACATGAGTGAGATGGACTCTTGCATAATGGTATTGTGGTACGCTGATGCTCGTGGTGTTGTTCATGATTTGGATAATCATGATGGTCGTGTATCTATGATGATGATCATGATACTTGAGATGCTCCAAGTTTTTATGTTGATAGTGGTGTTACTATAATGGTTATAGTAAGTAGTGAGCATGGGTGTTAACGAGTGGATAGACCAACGGTCTATGTGTGAGATGTTAGTGATGACATCAAGGGTAAGAGATCAAGGATCGATGATTGAAGTTCAAGGATCGAATATCGAGGATCGAGTAATTCAGTATGATTGAAAGTTTTTATGTTAGAGGATTAAGAATCCTATTGTTGTTACTACTATGTATATGGTGTTTGATTATGGTTGATATAATCAGAAGGTATGTATCTTGTTGTGTGTTTGATTATGGTTGATATAATCAGAAGGTATGTATCTTGTGTATTTGATTATGGTTGATAAATCAGTATTTATGTTTCTTTGTTATGATTGTTTTATCGGTAGCTAACCCCATACATGTTTGTATTTATGTGTTTGTGAATGAAATTATTGGCAATGATAGTATAATGCATTATACGTGAGCAAAAATGTTACCTATGTTCTAGAGGCGTGATTGACTCGAGAGAGGATGGGAATAACCTTGGGATTCATTCAAAGGTATTTTGTTTTACAAGTTAAGACAATATAATTGAAGTATTTCCTTCGTTATTTTATTATTCAAAATAATGTAATTGAATAAGGTTTTCTTTAAGTACGTTTTTATGTTATGATAAATTTTGAATTTTATGGATTTTTAATAACCTGTGACATCCCAGAAATCGATGTGTTACACATATAATGTAGTCTCAGTACACTTCCTAGAATCATAACCAAAAAAGAAAAGAAAATCCTTTCTCTTTTAAGAAAATTATTATTTAGTTAAATATTGTGCTTAGGCTTTTCAAAATGTGAGATACGAACAAGTACTTCGACACATTAATATTGATTTCGTTTATGGACAATATAGCATAAACCATCATTAAATACGTTTTAAAAGTTTGTATCTAGAGATGTTTGACTTGTATGATGACTACATGAAGTGGTCTGCCTGATTACTTGTTAATCTATCATAACAATAGTGTATTGACTATTGTATAATTTAATACACTATGATCAAACTGACTTATAAAATATAAATAGATCACTGAATTTAAGATTAAACTCGTCTAAGTAAGAATTCACAAATCACAAATGTAAAAATATCATATTATAAATAATATAATTATTAAAATATTTTATCCATATTTTCATTAAGTATACTTAATATTTTGTTGATAATACTGAGTTAAAGTGTAAGAATGTCCTAAGAAAGAAAAAAACAAGTATTTTAAAGAACAAAACTTAAATAAAGTTCTACAATTGAAGTATTTGCATATAGTTTTTTACTTTTTAACAACCCATACTATTAGCCTAATATCACAAGAATATTATGTAAAATATTATTCACTTCAAATTTAATCTATTTCACAAAATCGTTTAGTATAATAACTGAAGTGAAGGTATTTATTATTCATTAAAAATATTAGAAAACGATTTTATCCGAATTTATAATTAATATCCGTTGATAATAACACTACCTACCACTTTACAGAACACTCAAGCGAGAAAAAAAAAGCATGAAAAACATATACAGCAAACAAGAAAGAAAAACAACCTCAAAAAGTTGAGAGCAACAGAATATAGCGTTATGTATTTTTTATTACTTAATTTGAATAAATTATAATTTTTTAAGTTATTACCACTTATCAGTTATATAATATATTATATTGAAACAGTAATATAAAATGCATTTCCATTGATATCACATCAATAATTATTCTTATCATAGAACGTTATTAAATAAATGTAGCCAAAAAAAAGAATTGAACGCTTTGAAAATCTGTAACTTATACAAAAATTAAAGCCAATAACTTTTTAAAATTAAGAGATCTTAGTAAATCATAATATTTATAAAAATTAAAAGCATATCAGAACCAATGAAAAAATTGGGAAGAAGTGCCTCTTAAGTTGAGAATGAAAGTTTCTCATGCCAGTTCCAACCACAGTGTATGCTCAAAAAAATGCATTAAATATTGAGAAAACAAGAACAAGAAACTAGACAAGGTTGGGTTTCTTTTAGAGGGAACACATACATAGCCATTAAGATAAGGAACTGCGCTCAATTATTTTAATTGGTTAGCTTTGCTTGTGAGGTTGGCTTCGTTTTCTGCAATTCCCACTCCACAAAGCCACGCCCTGCATCACCCCCAAAAAACTAACAGAAAAGCAAAAAAGAAAAGAAAAAGAAAAACCAAAAACTTAAAACAACATATTATTATTAATATCGCTGTAATTATTGTTACAGTTTTCATTTGTCTTGTCCCTTTATTTTTCGATTGGATCTGAGGCTCTTCAGAGTTGCAGAAAGGCACACCAAAGTTGCTTCACTTTCTTGGAGTGTAGTTTCGCTTTGTTCAGAGCAAACTCACACAGAGCTTGTGAAATCCACAGCCATGGAAGAAGGTTTCTTACTATGCAATTTCATTGCTGTTTTTCTGCTTTGATCAGGTATGCATGTTGTTGTCCATTATTTGTTTATTTATTTCCTCTACTCATACCCTTTTGTTGCCTTCCTTTATTGGGTGGCTTTAAATCACTGTTCCTGTAGTGTAACAAAAGAAAAGGCTGAAGGTGGCTTCTAATGGATACAAAAACAAAAACTTTAACTTGGGTGCTGTTACAAGTTAATGCATTTTTGCAATCAAAAGAAAAGGGGTTGTTAGTTTTGCGAAGTTATGGTTTTGGTTTATGTGGTGTTGATCAAGGAGGAACAAGATTTCTTGGTGATTTTGTGAAAGAAATTTTGATATCTGAAAGCCTTTGTGAGTTTCCTTGATGCTTTTCTTTCTTTTGGGTTGAAAGACTGAATTTGATTTGATGCTTTGCGTTTAGGTTCAGCCGTTTTCTTTCTAATGGATTCCGTTCAGTAGGGTGGTGTTCGAGTATGTGTATCTAAAACAGGCCTCTTGGAAAGTTTATAATGATTTTCTTTATCTAGTCGTTTGAATATCACTCTGCATCATTTTAATTTTCCTTCTATTTTCGACATGTGTTATTTCTTTAAAGTAAGAAAGTGGTATAAGGAATTTTTGGTTGTTTATGTTTCTATGCCTTTTAAATGAGTAAATCTCAGTAATTCACTGCGTTGAGTTGGATTTTGCAGCTCATCAAGGATTTCTTAATGGGTTCACCTGTTAATGGATTGGATTCTTTAGCAGAAGTTCAGAATTCAGTTTCTGTGGCAGATCATGATCCTCCTTCAACATCAGGGATTCCCCGGCCATCTCGGCCGCCGTTAAGCACATCCAGAAATCATGGGGCTTCATCCAGTCAGCATAATAACTATGGAATGAAGACCATCCACCACCAAAAGCATTCATATCAGGAGGCTGACAGCGTAGAGCGAGATGAAATGCAGAATATGGAGAAGCAGCACTATAACACAAATGGGAAATCTGAGTATGTGAGCCTCAATAAAGCTGTTGAAAGTTGTTTAGGAAAGAATATCTCCAAAATGGAAACTAAATTAAGTATCAAGCAACAGTTAAATGCTTCCAAGAATTGTGATTCGTCAAAAGGTGTTGTTGATGGAACAAAGAGCAACTGCCAATCAGAGATTACCTTTTGTCCAAGTCCTCAGAATAGTTTCTATTCAGAAGCCAAGGAAAGTTTTGGCAACACTGGAGTCAGTGAATGTGTTAGTGTTGATAAGTCAGTTGAAAGTGGAGAAGTTACTAATTCCTGTGAATTTAACGAGAGCAGGAAGACCAGCATCTGTAGAGGAAGCACTGGAAGCGACGTTAGTGATGAGAGCAGCACTAGTAGTCTGAGCAGTGCTTTATACAAGCCCCACAAGGCAAATGACATAAGATGGGAAGCAATTCAAGCCATTCGAGCCCGTGATGGGGTGTTGGAAATGAGACATTTCAGGTTATTGAAGAAATTGGGATGTGGAGACATAGGAAGTGTATATCTAGCTGAACTAAGTGGCACTAGGACTTGTTTTGCAATGAAAGTAATGAACAAAACTGAGTTGGCAAGTCGCAAGAAGCTTGTTAGGTCTCAGACAGAGAGAGAGATACTGCAGTCTCTAGATCATCCATTTCTACCCACATTGTATACACACTTTGAGACAGAGACATTCTCCTGCTTGGTAATGGAGTTTTGCCCTGGAGGGGACTTGCATGCACTCAGGCAAAGACAACCTGGGAAGTATTTTTCTGAGATTGCTGCCAGGTTAGCCATTTCATTTTTCCTTGCTTGCCCCATCAGTTCTATCGACATACAACATGCAGAGGCATTAGATAACTGTATTTTCCTTCCTTGGAGTCATGGAATCAAGTGTTCTATCTGTAGGGCCAGAATAGAAACTGTATCATTTTAGAAAATATCTGTCTTTCTCTACAAGAATAAGGGAACCTGACTGAGATTTTTATCATATAAAGCTGAACTGTCACAAAACACTGTAGTTACTATCCATTGCTGCTCAAGGACCATGAGAAAATCCTTATATTTACCAAAACATGGCCCAAGAATTCTAAGTAGCCAAGCTTTATTCTTTTCCACTCCCTTTATTGTTTTAAAACCTTCCAAGCTTTTTTCAAGTCTCTTATGGATGTCTGCCAAAAATGGTAAAAATACGCTTGCTCGCTGCACACTGGACCGTTTCTTTTTCTGCCTGCATAATTACCTTTCCTTTACTACTTCCACCTTTTCCCACAATCAAGTTTCAATCTCTATTTTCTTGACACTTCTAACT